TGACAGTACCTCAATATTTTGTGCTTATTCCTTGGATAATTTTTATTCATTATTTTAATGAATAATGAATTAATTATTAAGTTAATGATGGGGGGTGGGGAAGGTTTCTGGGTGTGCCTCTCCGTTCCCTTTCCTGCCACTGTAGAGTATTTTTCTGCCACCTGGTGGTGGAAAATGAGGTCCTGGGAAGGGACACCGGGCTACGTTTAGGGAAGCTTTGCCTGATCAAGGGGCCTAGAATTGGCAAAGAAAGAAAGGTTAAATAAAGGTAGGAAAGTGTCGTGTATTTTATATTTACCAATATTATCTAGAGTCTGTAGTCACAGACTGGCGTTTCACTGCAAAAAGTCCAATCTAGAAAAAGCAAATAAATCCTTCCTGTTGAACAATCTGTCTCATGGCAGATGGGAAATGGCTCTGGGCTTCTCTAATTCCTCCTGGTTCTGCCAAGCTCCCTGAGCTGGACATAGGTGGCACAGAACAGCATCTTGGGTCTGCCCCCTACCACAGGGGTGGCAGCAAGTCAGGGAGGGAGCTGAGTTCATCCCCTGTGTGCTGTGGGTGCTGGAGCAGCCATCTGCCCTGAGGCTCTAGTGGAGAAATCATGAGTCACACTTGCAATGAATGCATGAAAAAAACACTTAAAACCGAAAACCAGCCAACCAAAAGATGCCCGTAACTGAATTTCTGTAACTCAGTCAAGAATGTGTTGGTGAGTGACTACAGCCTGTCTCAAAACAGAGAGGAGATGGTCTGTGGCAGTAACACCTTGCTGTGCTACAGCAGAGAATATAATGACCATTAGTCTCACATTCCTGCTCCCTGCAAGACAGAAGGGACAGATGTAGAGAATCTGGAAGTTCTGTCTTCCCACCCTTCCCAATTTCTATTGTCAGTTTCTTAAACAAAATCTCCCCCTCCAGTTTCAGCACTCAGCCAGGCCCTGCCACCCTGGGACATCCACAACTCTAACTTGAGTACACTTGTATAGCAGTGTTCTACTCCTACCCTCCCATGTTTGGAATCAGATTTCAGTAAAAATACATTCAATATCATTCATTCACTTAGGTGGTCAAAGAATTGACCTCAGGCACTCTGTTAAAGTACCAGCCTGAAGGAGATGAAAAAATTGAATTTTTTGAACCTTTACTTGAAATATGGTTTTGTACAATACAACCTTTAGGAAATAGAACTCCCACCTAAGTAGAAAACATTTCCAGTTTTCACTACCAAGGAGGGATGGTATGGCTCTGGGAGCATTGATTATTTATTTATTTATTTTAAGTTTGCAAGGCTTAAATAAAATATTTTTTTCCCAGCCGGGAAAGGATTTAGAATTTTTTAAAAAGCCCTTTATGGGCTAAGATGGAAAGAAGACCATACAGGAACATACATTGCATTCCTCTGAATCTCACAGGATCCAGAGGATAAACACAATTGCACATGAGCAGACAGCTGAAATTTCATCTTATTCTCATGAGAGTTTTATTTGCAACTTAACAGTAGCAACAGGTCAAATGAGGGATTGCAACAGCAGTTTGAGAACCACTGCTGTGACAGTGCCTCAATATTTTGTGCTTAGTCCTTGGATAATTTTTATTCCTTATTTTATTTGTTTATGCATCTTCCACAGTTTCGAATTTAACTCCCCTCACCCCCAAAATACAGCAATAGGATTACAGAGACAGAGCCACTTTCACTGCAGATATTCTTACGGGTGTTTCAGAAGGTTTTATGACCATTTTGGCACTGAAGGGAAAACCAGCTCTTTCATCCCGGTACATCTGCCAGCAAAGGCAAACCTGTCTGGTTAGCATCTGCAATAATTAGGAAGTAGTTGCTGGCTAGCCAGTGTGAAATACATGTACAAGAAAGGTCAGAAGGATTCCAGCAGCCTGTCAGCCTGACCTGAGTGCTTAAGGAAGGTTATGGAACAGATTATCTTGAGTGTGATCACACAGCACGTGCAGCGGATCAGGCCCAGTCAGCAGAGGTTTAGGAAAGACAGGTCCTGCTTGACCAACCTGCTTTCCTTCTATGACAAGGTGATCCACCCAGTGGATGAGGGAAAGGCTGAGGGTGTTGTCTGCCTATAATTCAGTAAAGCCTCTGTACCTGTTCTCTCACAGAATTCTGCCGGAAAAGCTGGGAGCCCACAGTTTGGACAGGTGTACTCTTTGCAGGGTAAAAAACTGTCAGGAGTGGTAGTGGGTGGAGTTACATCCAGCATACAGGGAGCAGTCCTGTTTAATATCTTTATTGATGACCTGGACAAGGGGATCAAATTCTCCCTCAGTCAGTTTGCAGAGGACACCAAGCTGTAGAGTAGGAAGGCTCTGCAGAGGCATCCGGATAGCAGAGATCCATGAGCAGTGGCCAATGGTATGAGGTTCAAAAAGACCAAGTGCCAGGTCCTGCCCTTGGGTCACACTCCCTGTAGCACTACAGGCTGGGGTCAAGTGGCTGGAAAGCTTCCTAGCTGAAGAGTATCTTGGGGTGCTGGTCAACAGCCAGCTGAACAAGAGCCTGCAGCGAGCCCAAGTGGCCAAGAAGACCAGTGGCATCCTGGCTTGTTGCTTATTACATCAGCAATAAGTGTGGCCAGCAGGACCAAAGCAGTGAATGCCCTCCTGTATCAGCGCTGGGAAGGCCACAGCTCAAGTGCTGTGCCCAGTTTTGGGTCCCACATTACAAGAAAGACATTGAGGTGATGGAGCAAGTCCAGAGAAGGGCAATGGAACTGGGGAAGGCTTTGGAGTACAAATCCTGTGAGGAGCAGCTGAAGGGGCTGGGGGTGTTTAGCCTGGAGAAAAGGAGGCTCAAGGGAGACCTGGTCCCTCTCTACAATTGCCTGAAAGGAGAGTGTAGCCAGGTAGGGATCAGTCTGTTCTCCCAGGCAAAGGATGAGAGGAAAAGACCTCAGGTTGTGCCAGGGGTCATGTCTGTAGGAAGAACAGCATTGACTGAATTGGAGGGAAATGAGGCATCTTTGATTTTTCTGAACCTGCTCCTGGTGGAGGAGAATGATTTTACTTGTTACTGCCCTTTTGCTAATTTGTCTGCCTTTCACATTTTAAGGCAAAACCCAACTGTTTTATTACCACAATGGTCGGTGAATGTTATGCTAAAGTACTACATCAAGCTGTGAAAGAAAGAGGCAGAAGCAAGTCGTAGAGTATGTATAGGTGGCTTGCAATGGCTTCCAGGAAATTTTAAGAAACCAAACAACTTTGTATAGACATTTGTCTGTAACTATGGATAAGTTTTTCCAAAGATTATGCGACTAATAAGGCAATTTTTAAGAACAGCAAATGGCAGAGGATGGATTTATGTAGTTCAGATAATATGACACTGAACTATTTTAAGTCAAGTGTCATTAGGCTGAGCTAAGGGGGAGTTTGAAAAAAACAGAGAAGCTTTACAGTATATTTGTAATATTGTTAAGCATACAGACATACATATTCCTGTATCTACCTGGCCACGCATGAGTGCAGATTAAATTGCTAGAGCAGGGTGTCATAATTCACTACTCATGCATATTGTTAGTTTAGAATGATAAACTATTAATTTGATTAATTTCAGGCCGTCTTCTCTGTAACAGAACATTATATTCAAAAGCAGTAAGTCTGGTAGTCTAGACAGCAGCATGCTAAACTAAACACTTTCATACATTTAGAGGTTAACTGTTTCTTAAATGCTTAAAACTAAGGAACTGAAAACACTCAATTTCAGCCTAAAGACCAATTCCCTGGACACAGTCACAGAAACGCTGACAGGAACTACCTGGCTAGGCACATGTATATTTTAACTTTAATTACTTAAATTCCTGTTGAAAATAAGATTAAAACCTTGTCACACATAACTGTCTCCATTCTACCTTACAGGTAATTTTCACCTCATCAGAAAGGTTGCCTATCTAAATTTACAGTATTATTTGCTTTCTAAACATAAACCACATCCATCACGTTGTAGACAAGTTAGTGGGTTTACTAAAGCACTAAAATAACATCAGCATATCGTATAAAAACTGGACACATGACCTGTATTTCAAGGGGAAAAAAAGGTAGTGTTAAAATGATAAATAAACATTTCACTTGGCATGGATAGAGTAGCAGGCAGAAGATGCTTTTCTATTGGGTAAAGTTAGGAGATAATTTATTTTGCTTAACTTGCATGGCAGAAGAAAAGCTGGCTAGTCTGCCATAAATAAAGCTAGTATAAAATTCGCTTAACTCCTCAGAGGATGGCAGGGAGCCAGTTGCTCCTGTGGCTGTTACAGTAGACTCTCAGTTCCATTGGCTGGGGAACATGCAGTATCCCAAACCCATGGGAAAGGCTCTCCCCAGATGACCTGAGAGACCAAGAGGGGATTACTGCCTCTGGTGTAACAGAACTATCTCTAATAGAAGCAAAGAGTGCCTTGGACTTGCCTTTTCAAACTTCATTTGAAATTGTCTTCATGGGTGAGCAACTATTCTCAGTGTACATGGAGGCCTAGGTGCCAGCAACTCCGGTGGGAACAGGGAGCACAGGGGCCCAGGGACCCGCAGTGCGAGCAGAACATCCATGGGTTGAATATGGATGTCTGTGTCATCACTTGCAAATACCAAAATGGAATTGCTGTAAAATAGGATAAGAGTATTGGAAGACAGGTATGAAAGCAGCTGAAAGTCTGGCCAGGCTACTGGAGGGGCCAGTGAGTCCCAGCTGTTGGAAAAAGCGTAGATGTAGACCCTAAAGAACGAGAATTACCAAAACAACACACAGACCACTGGCACTCCATAATATGGAGTTCAGGACTACAGGAGCAGGTCCTGTTAAGGAGCAAAATTTAGTCTCTCCTAGCATAAATTTAGTAAGTGCTATGGTATATTAAGATAGAGAAGACCAGCACCGATCTGTTAGTTTTAAGTGATGGAGCATGTAGATAAAGACGCCACAGGGGTGGTATTGAGTTTTGTTACCATGCAACTGTAAGCCATGTTCTTAAAACACATTCCTTATTTTGTTATTATGTAAGTTTTATTGCTCTTGCTTGTTCCAAAGGTCATTTGCTATTTGCTGTTATCACTTTACCAGAGTGAGGACTTCTAATATTAACTAAAGACATAACAGGAGTTAAATGGGTAGTTAACAGGCAGATAACGCATTATGTTACAGAACAGATCCAAGTTACTGCCACTTGGAACACAGACAACATTTTCATCTGATCACTGCCAGAGCTTTGCTCCCATTCTCTATAAGGAATTTAAGGCACATGTGACCTGCTGTTTTCAAGTAACAGTGATGCTAGGGAGATCGTGCAGAGAGCTTGGCTTCAGTTGCTGTTTCTTCACAAGTCTTGTTTCTTTCATGATACAAAATTGAAATACAGTATAAAAATATATCTTTTCAAAGGGTCCAATAGTTCCAAGTCTAATTTCAATATTATAATGCTATAATATTTAAGATTGAGGAGCATTAAGAGTGCAGCTTCTGCTGGAGTTTCTTCAGGATACCACATTCAGTACAAGAGAGAGACTAATATTTTCCTATTGCTTCCCTAGAGAGGCTGCACTTTAAGTTAAAACAGTCTTGCTTAATGTCTCCCACAAGACATGTAATCCAGAGGTGTTATAACTGATACCCTGATTCCTCTGACTGCAGGACAGCGCATGGAATTTCCATTATTTACAAACACTCCTTGAATACTCCTTTACAGTCGAGAATCAGTTTCAGCTTCCTTTTCATTGCCATCTCGAGCCTTCTTTTCTTCCTTTTCTTCCTTGCTGAACTGGGCTTCAATCTCATTTGGATCAATATAGGTATAAAAAGAAGCCATGATAGCAAAAATGACGCAAACTACCAACAGCAGGGCAGCAAACAGCACATACTCTGCCCACTGCCAAAACAAAAAAAAAAGCAGAATTTATCCACCAATATTCATTTGAGTATTCCACCATTTTAGTATTTTCAGGAAGTAAACTCAGAATGTTAAACTGCGTATGCATAACAACTATCATATGGCTTATAGGACTAATTACTAATTAAGCATAAAATACATATTAAAGCAACTCAGAATTAAGGCTCTTTCATCATTTCTATCTTCACCGAAAAAACAAAAATTCTGTAAATGCTGAAAAATTCTGCAACATCCTTTTCCTGGAAGAACTGGGAATTGAATGAAAGACTGAGAAAGAAACTCAGCCCCTTCCTTTTGGTCAGATAAACTCATTCTAAAACTAGGCTGGCGCTTATTCTGCTTCCACTTAAAAATTTTTACAGCTGACCTAGTGACCACAAATGTGGGCAGAGATCAGAAACTCTAGCTGAAAAACATCAACATCTCTGTTTCATGCTCTTTCTGATTTAATTTAGGTTAAACTAGGGACTGCCAGAGCTGTTTCAGAGATAAGCTCTTCCCTCTCTCAAAGAGCCATTTTAATTCATTACAGAGCACTGCTTATACATAGAAAATCTTGTACAATTGCTCTTCACCAGGACAGATACAGTTTTTATGCCCCAAAGAATGAGGTTTGAAACCAACAAAGCCAGAAGAAGGGATGTGGCTAGGCTGTGGCATGCAGGTGAGGTCTCATTAACAATTAATAGAACTTTGGTAGGTTTTAATTCCATGCATGCAGAATTTCAGCTCAAAAGTTCACAGATGTTCTATACCATGAGAAGACATTTACTGCAGAGATGTTAGAAACTGCTGCTTGCAAGAAAAGGAGCCTGGCAACAAGGCAAATAACAGGTAAGCATAAACTTTTGCAGAAAAACTATTTATCTGCCATTATTTCCCACTGGATTAGAACTGCTTTCTCACAGTGTAATACAATAGCACACCGACTGCTTGCATGCTTACCTGCTTTTTGATTGCAGATGCCCCAGCCACAATAAGGACAATTATGTTACCAACAGCCACAGTCAGCAGCCATCCTGCCTGCAGCACTGACTTCATGTTAGATGGGGCCTGTAGAGACAGACATTTAAGTTTTGATGGTAACACTTAATTTCTGATGCATTTACTGCATTCTTTACCTTACAATAAACACTGTTTCTCTGTGGGGAAGAGGATTTCGTGGTTTGCTAGGTTTTGGTGGTGGTTGGGGCTCTTTTAAAATTTATTTTTTGATATTAAAAATTGCTAGAGAGCTAAGCAGGTCTGGAGAAGGCTTTGAGGAGCAAGAGACCATTAGCACACTAACTATAACACCTTTCACATTTACACACCAAGTAACTAACAGGTGTACAGGTGCAATTTTACATCTCAAGAACACGTGGTACACATGACATGAAGAAGTTGAGTGGATCACCCAGCAAATCACACCTTACAACATTTCCATCACTGCAGTTTATAGATTCAGAATTAAGAGAAATACACACAACTAATAAACTGGAGTCAGAAGACAAAGGAATTAAAAGTGCATTACTAAACACTAATAAAAGGCTAACAAAAAGGCTGTATGGAGTACACTGGTGTGGAGATGAAGTGCCACTACCTCCTCATTTTATATTTGAGAGCTCTCCAGTTTGGTTTTATTGCATCAGTACTGTTGCACTTATTCTCAATGGATAGTCACATGTGAGAAGGAAATTTGAGGACTGGTAGTCAAGTCTTTAAATTATATAATTCAGCATAGCTTCATGGAAAACACCAAATTCTTGGTTAAACTGGGCCAACTTGCGTGAGCCTATACAATCCTTCTAGGAGCTGTGAGGGACATAGGGATCAAAGCAGCAGCACAGAACCATCACTTAAAAACAAGATACCATGGAAGATCTTAACTTGCACCAAGATTTTTAACTCAGGAAGAAGAATACCTACCTGTGAGTATGAAAATTCCAGCCCAGTGACAGAGAACAGTACTTCTGCACATGTAAGAAGAAAATACTGAGGGATCTGCCAAGCCATATGGACCGTATTTGGTGCAATATCTTCAAAGTGTGTAATGATAAGTTTTTTTCCAACACACTGGAATTTAAAATAGCATGTTAGGAATAGTAATAATGAGTGTGCACAGTTGAGGCATTCTAAGCAGTTCTATAATAATATAGAAAGTTCAGAGTAAGTAACAAATTCTGCACATGAAGCACTGCATATCTATAAAGTATAGCTTTTTTACAGCAGACTTCATGCAAATCTGTAGTGTCTAACAGGGCTAAAGGTTTAAGGCCATGAATGGTGATCATGAATTCTTGCATTATGTTATTATCATAACCGCCATTATTTTTATAGTTAATAGTGGCTTTTTGTCCCATTTAGGATACCAGAATTCTACCATATATACTTAAAGACAAGAGGAAATTAAAGGATTAAAGACAAGAGGAGTAATTCTGGTGTTTTTTTAGTTAAAGTATCAGCATGGGAAGGAGTTCTATATTGTCCATCCAACAAGTAGCAACTCACATCATCAAGTGAAATGGTATAGGCAGCACCATATCCAAATTCCTTTGAATCAACTGTACAAGTGTTAGGCATTGAAGCATTAATGGTATATGACCTGAAAAAGAAAAAACCAAAACCTCACAGTTCAGACCAGGAGTGTAGTCAATTGTATGCATCACATATTTACATATTTTAAGAAAACTCTGTGCCCTTTTCCCAAGGACAACTATATCTAGGAGATCAAATTAGGATAAAGGAAAATGCTTACCAGCCTGGATTTGAAATGACGCTGTAATTACTGACAGAAAGAGGTTGCAGCTCTCCAAAAGCCATGTCACCCATAGTAACATTGACAGTAAAATTGGAATTGTTTATGAACCTTTAAAATGGAAGAGTGATTAAATACTACACAAAACATACAGAAATCAAAGCATACAGGTTTTACTTTTAATTATATATTGTCAGCACAAGTATCAAGTCTTCCCATTTAATGCTTATTTGGTTCTGTTTTTTTTTTTAATCAATTCACATTTTGGAAAGAACTCTAAATCTCTTAGAAATGTAGCTAATACAAAAAGCCAGTTAGACCCCCATCAGCCCACTGCCAATACAACCTGCTACTACAACCAATAGATAATGCATCTGCAAATGGGAGATGTAGAAGAAAAGCAGAGAGGGGAGAGGTAGAAAGATAACTCTTATCCAAGATTAAAAATGAGGTATAGATATGTAATCCATGCCACTTGTCCAATAAAAAAATCTAGGCAATGGAATGAAGCATATACTTCCACTTTTAGCTAAATTACACCCAAAGCAGATGTGCAAGATAACTTAAGTGAATCATGACTCAGACATTATCCCATTCCCTAAAATGTCAAGGGACGTGTCCAGCAAAAGGTGAGTTCCTACAGTACAGAAAACTTTACTTCAACAAGAAGAGACTACCCAAAGACCCAAGATTGAAGAAAGAGTCACACTACTGTCAAAATTTAGACACAAAAAACCCCCCTCTACCTGACGAGACTTTTTCCATCTGCTGGTTTTGCTGTGATATTGTCCTCTATCTGGTGGAAGAGACCATTATCAAAATATGTTGCTGGCATCAAAGAACAGCTTAAACATGCACTATTACAGAGCAATGGGAATTAACAGAGACTTCAGAGCAAGACTCCAGACTTCCTTTTTAGGTTCCTCCTAGCACACACATCTACTAGAAAACGCTATATGACCACACACCTAAGTTTTGGTGGAAGTGTAGCTGTCAAGGTACATAAGAAATTGGTAATTTTTTTTTTTTAATGACATCCTGGTGTACTCTCTGCAGCTTGCCAGTCTTACTGGTACAGCAGAGACAAGGAGAGACAGAAAATAAATCAAAGGACAAAAGCTATCCAGAGCTTGTCCTCTCAGCTTCACACACTCCACATAGATAGCTGTCAAAACATATATTTATATCTTAAGAAATAAGCAGACTTACCAAATTGTAACTGATCTTTGCTGGATCCCATTTAAATGCGAAAGTGTAGCGTTGTTTCTCTATCAGATCCAAAGACTTAGTTTTATTTAGAGTTCCAGAAGCTATGTTTAATGATTCCAGTTTAGAAGTCTCAAATGTCATGTAGCCAGTCTACAAAGACAAAATGCCACAGATTTCTGTGCAACTGCATATTTGTCTACACTTTTGAGGGAACGTTATGAACTCTGGGGAGGGTCAGAAGTTTAGACGTGTTAGTTCTGAAGTGCCAGAGATCACGAACATCTCCTAACTTTAATTTTTGATCTGTTTTTTACGTCAAGCATTAATTCCATTTGATCTTTGTTTTTTGTTAGTTTAATTTGTTAAACAAGCTTCAAAGTTTCGTGAGCTTCCCACAAGCATTATGGAATAGCTGTTATATTTTCCTATTTCTTGCTCCAGATAAATCAGGCTTACCACAACCACCGAGTAAAATTCTATTTAGCCAGAGACGTAGCACTAGCATAAGATGCGATGCAGTATTTTCCAAAATGCAGAAATTACATGTTTTAAATATTCAAAACAAATTTAATCAACATAAAATACTTCAACCCTTATTAAACATGTTAGTGCTACACTAAAATAGGCCCTTTGTTTTATAGGATTATCAAAAGCACTTTATAATCCACATCTGGATGATAATGTGTCTGTAACAGGGAATTGAGCATTCCATACCTTTCATTTTCAGGTATGTACCATGGTTACATCAGTTCCCTGTCAGTATACAGTTTGGGTGCCCTTATCTCCTCACAGCTCTGTTTCCTTGTGAAGCAAATTTGGAGGAGGTTGGAGTAAGACCTCTCCTCTTCAAGGGAAACAGAACCGTGGGCTATCAGAGAACACACTTTGTAAGATCCTTATAAAAAACATCCATCAGAGCCACCACATTTTGCTGTCAATAGAACTACCAATGCTGTGCTTTATTAGAACCTGAAAAAGTTATTTGGCAGCAAAACATGAAGCTTAATTACTCACAGTAATAGCAGCAACTCACTAGAGATGAATGCACATTTACTGCAGGAAGGGGCTACTTTTAGGAATTGGAACCATTTTAACAGGAGTAAGACTTTCATCTAGTTCCAAGTCACTTAATTTTATGAAAGTTTCTTGGAAAAAAAGATACTCTAGTCAGATCAAAGTAGTAATACTTCAAATATTAACATAGTTACTATTTCTTCAATCACTGTTTTCAATAATAATTTATTCCACAATACAAAAAAAAAAAAAAAAAAAAAAAAAAAATTTAAATTATTAGAGTAACAAAGTCCTAGAAAATAATCAATTTTGAACCATTAGTTAAGAATGATTCTAACTTACTCATTTTTTTTTAAGCTTAATTAATTTTCATTAATTTTTTCATATTCCACATCTGCCTTTACTTACCTCCTTATTAGGTGCTACATCCACACTCTGAAGTTGAGGCTGGAACTGAACTGTTGCAGGAACAGAACCCAGATTTATTAACTTAATTTGAGCTTGCCCAGCTGCAGGGAAAACTGGATAGCTTTTCTATAGGACAGAAAAAAAAAGTAAAATCAGTGTTTGAAGTCACATGAAAAAATTACTATAATTGCTGTAATCTTTATTATTTCATGTTGAAGATTAGCATTTGCCCGATGATCTGTGATTGTCTGACAGAGGAAACTTGAATCAGGTTTTGTTACTAATCTCACAAGTTGCTTTAGGAAAGAAGTCTCTCATCCACAGCAGACACCTCTAGACAGCTGTTCAGATCTTGGAATCCAATGGATCCCCAACCAGAGGTGTTGCCAACATCCCAGCTACAGGGGAAAGAGTCATTTGGTTCAGGCAGGGCACCTCCCTTTGGGGAAAGGAAGGTTAGGGGAGACAAATCCTTCCTTCAACAAGTGCCATCTTTGCTCCTGCTGTAATGATGCTTCCCAGACTGTCACACTTCACCTCCAAACTAAATATCAGAAGAGGTCAAACATACAAAGTAGCCCTCTGGTAGGCCAAGCAAGTGTCTGGTTTTCATCTTTTAGTCTCAGTTTAAAGATTGAGGTATTTAATGCATAATTTGTATTAACTGCAATATGATGTTTTGCAGAATTGTGTTTGTTGCTAGTTAATTTTACTGTGCTAACCACAGTATTGCAATATATCTCCCCTCCCTCTAGTTCTATGCTTATATGATTGGCTCCAAATTTAGGACTCTTGGTTCATTTTCCTATTAAATACACCTTTTTTTCCTAAATTAACAGCTAAATATTAATAGTAAATACTCAATTGTGGCTGAACTTACATCTATTTGCACTTGCACAAGGGCAGCAGCAACAAAAGCCATAGAGCCAAGGAACATGCCCACAGTCATCTTCTTCAGGGGCCTGGTACAACAAAAGACACGTGAGATTTAAGAGAAGTGCCAATTAAAAGCTTCAGCTGCTTGTTTTTTCTTTCTACTCTAGGAAACTCAAATGGCCATGAATAGCACATTATCACCATTTGAAGGCCTGATGTTATTACAGAAAATGTTCTGCTAAGCTGCGTACCTCTCAATTCATAGTTACACTATCAAGAAATACATCTTTCCTGCAGCATCATAAATAACCTGTTACTCTGCATCTGCTGGGCTCAGACATTGACTGACCATGATTATTAGGTTCCTGAAAAAAATCTGGTTTTGTAGGAAGAAAAAACCCAATCCAATACAGTTGTTAGCTGTAAAACAAGAAAGAGACAAGAAGATATGCCTTTAAAAAACAAGGAACAACTTGTCTCCATATTGCTATGTTTAAATAAGATGAACAAAAATGGTCAGGGAAAATTGTTGGATTAGGAAACATCTACTGGTATGCAGTTAAGCTGTAAGGATAGATTTAGAGTATATATGTCGATTGTGGCATGATTTATCCAGTGCAGAATGTCTACAAAGGAATGACAGTGTTCCCAGCACAGCACACCCCCTAGATTTTTAACAGCTATATGGAAAAACAGCATTGCACCTTAGCTCTCTGAAAATAGTTTTAAGAACTGTATTCTCTTCTGCCTCTGCAAGCACTCTTGCAACTGCTAGCCACTTCCTTAGCAACATTGAAAAATTATGTGTAATATCCCCAAAGCTCCACCTAGAAGGATTCTGTAAGCCAGACTCCCAGCTGAGACTGAACGGGAAATGTCTTGTGCTGCTTTTTAGCCCAAAACATGACAAATGCCAAGGATGTATGTTGCATTTCTACCTCCCATCCTTCAGGAGGGAGAGGGGGTAAACATAGGGGATATTGAAAACAATCAAGATCATCTCTCCTGCAATCAAAATATTTTGTCCTTAACTGAAAAACATTGTTACTCTTCTCTTAGATTCTCCTCTTTTAATCTGTGGTGTCTCTACCTACCATTTACAGTATTCTGGGGTTTTTTATATTTTAATTTCTTTAAACTATTAAACCCTTTTAAATACACTCTCTTTCATCCTTAGCTGAATGCTTGCTCTTGTTACATTAGGGCTGGAAGAGCCAGTTAAAGAAACCACTAAAATGAGCTTCTGTTGAAGTCAGAGAATTACATCAACTTACGTAAAATTCAGCTTGCATTTCTTGATTAAAGGATAAACCAAAGAATCTACAACTGGGACCATTATAACAATCAGGATGGGATTCACAATCTGGAGAAGATGAACATGAGAAAAAAAAAGTATTTTTCAAAGCACTTTTTATAAGCAAGGGCAATATGTACCTAATCTTTCACAAGCACTTGAAATTGGCAGATAGAAAATGAACATACCTGCATTTGGTCTGGTTGAATTTGAAAACCCTGGTGAAGAGAAAAAGAAATAGTTTTTAATATTGTGACAACAAATAAAATGGGTCTGAAAAGTGTTAATTAAAGAAAAAAAGAATAAAAAGTAACCTACAAAATCCCCATTCATTGCTGTGGCTTGCAGTGTCCATCTTGACCCCTTAAATAAGAGAAGAAAAAATTAGCTGTCACAGTAAATCAATGTTCTAAAGTTCCTTTTGAATCGTTTTCATTAGTGAAGTGTTGGAAAAAACATGCAATAGAACCAAAAGTAAAGCTGGTTTGCTATGGGAGTATTCTTAGTCTGCAATGTAAACCTTTGAACAATGTGAGACTCGTGGCCCATTCCACTTCATTTACTTGTTTTGTGAAATACAGCAGAAAATAACTCTAGATGCAGAAATCAGCTGTAGAGAGGGCAGGGCCATCCTGCGCGGGGCACTGCTGCAAGCTGGGCACAGGAGCCACCCAGGGGTCTGTGTGTCACTGGCCTGAGCCCAAGCAGCTCACACATCCCACTCATCACACTTCCTTCACACAGCCCAGAGCCAGAGGACAAGCCAGGGCTTGACCTGCCTGGAGCCTTCTGCCCCAAAAACCTGCCTGTAGCTGGGACAAGCAGGGTAGACTTTAGGCCTGAGCCCAGGATGAGACAAGAACGCTACCACTGCATCTGTGACAAGACCTTTCAGCCACCCACGAGACATCACTGCCCGAGATATTACCCATGGAATGAGTTTTGAGCTCTGAATTTCATAGCAGAGCTGCCTAATTGTAACAGGTCACACTGACAGCTACAGCTCACAGGCACTGGACTGAAGCAGCAGGATATGAGGAGTCTGGACCAAATTTCCATCTGACTTGGATAAGGCTTTCAGGCCCTGGTTCTTTCAAGCATCTTCCTAAATTCATACTTCAGTGCTTAACTGTGAATGATGCTTTTGTGAGTCTTGAGCACACAGTCCACCAAGTGAATGGGAATTGTAGGCTTATACTTCTGCTTGAAGATGTAAGGTATTTATAACAGGGTGTGAGTGATTAAGCAAACTGGCTTAATCCAGATAATTTAAACCCTGGTTCTCCAGATCATTTTTACAAGGACCCTAAATTTCATCTGATAATTGATAACTGAAGAAACATTAGCACTAAGAAAGCTTTAAATTACTGTTTCATCCCCTGAGTCCCAGACTGATGCAAGATTTGGAGAGGCCTCAGTCATTGAATCTGCCCTGGGTATACTCAGATAAACTGAGATTGCCCCTGGCTGCAGATCATCATGTACTGACATGACTCAGTGACTACCCTTTTGCAATAAAACCAGGATAAAGAATTTGGTTTTTCACACTCCCATAGAGACTGACATGGTACAAGCTCTGGTTACCAAGCTCTACTTACCTGCTGGTCAAAAACTGCCCAGAACATGGGAAGAGGGATGTAAAGGAAAAGCACCTTCAACACCATCTTTATCTGAGCAATCAGTCGTTTCTGCAGAAAATAAAAATTACATAAGAGGAATTGGTTTAAAATAGAAAGAAAAAAAAAAAAAAAAAAAAAAGGAGAGACAGTTTCAGACTGCTACTCACATCACAGCAACAGGTAAAGACCCATCATATAATGTTTACCCACACATTCAGCTTTGCTTATTGTGGCTCCATCTGATGATTTCTATTAAAACAGTACAAAGTCTGCTTGTGCATGGGAAGGGCTGCTGGTTAAAGGTGACTGATACCAGAGAGACTTGGGCTGCTTTGCATGTACACTGACGGCAGCATGAGATTCAGCACTTAGTGAAGTGTGCATTTGAGCAATAGGCAACTGAGGAATTTCACCTAAGAACAAAGCATACAGGCAAAAGGAAAATAAAGGTGACAGGCTAAGGTTTGTGCTGCCATTGGCAAAAGGATAGAGAGGATAGCAGGCAAGAGACAAATTGGGAACTATGGGATATAAGGCTTTGAAAATCATTATAAGAAATTGTACTGAGGCTGGAGGGAATGCAGTGTTTACCCACTTAAACTGAAATTCCAAAGTACAATTCTGATGCTTCATACCAAGACAAGTATTATGGCCTTGTGCATTAACCAGAACAGGCAGCATTATTTCCCTTTTCCCCTCTGCAGCCATGAAATACAGGAAATAGAGAAGGAATGATAAAGCTTGCTATTTTCCTAATCAAAAAACTTAAATGTTTGTATTTGTTTGGCAAGGGAAAGTCTTTTTTTTTTTTTTGTCCCCCTTCAACTTCCCTGGACAGCCTATGATTACACAGAGCATTGAGTCACACAGCTCTATTTTCTCCCACAGGAGCTGAGGAGATAACCTGGAGAGCACAGAGGTTTGGCCAGGTCAGCTCCTGAAGGATGGAGAGACCCAAAACTATTTGCCCAGTGCATGAGGCAATGGATCAGAGCAGACAGAGAGAAGCTGTGGGTCAGCAGTTGTCACGGCACCGGAGGCTTCCCTAGTACTTACATCATACTTCTCACTTGCCCAGTCCAGCCAGTGCTCTCTCTTGGGGAACTCCTTGCCAAGATGTTGAAACCTGTTTTTGATGGCAAACTGAGGAGAGACAGAATTATGTTTAATGGCACTACAAATATTTAAAACTATAAACTGTTTTGTCTTTAGAGATTATACTCCTGGCTTCTTGCACTAAGAGGGTGCTAAAGGTGACTTGACTTCTGTTAACCCCATCATCTAGGGAAATGTTGCTTTTAAGGCCTCACACTGCATAGCCAGCATACACCTGAGGTCAGGTGGCCCAAACAGTTCAGAGCAGTCCCTCTCAACGTGGGTTTCTGTGAGGGGCTGAAAGATCTGCCTTCTTCAGACTTACTTATATACAACAGTAAATAGAGTAGTGTCATATGCACAGGTTTTCAGAGCTGAATGGTTGTAGGAGAGAAGCTCCTATGACACGCTCCCTCTTGTAGTATACCTCACACCTTGACATTGAATATACACAAATATGGTCCCAAAGAACTCCTAAGATTTTCCATGGAATAACGCACGGCAAAGCTGGGCCTTAGGAGCAGAACTCTAAGAAATGGCCAAAGTCACCTACAGAGACTTGGTTTTGACAGTACCTACAAGATAGGCAATAGGCTGAGCTGTATAAAGCTGGCAGATCTGTAGGGGTGTGTTGATTTGGCACAGCCTGACTTTTGGTAGTGGGAGAGTGCTAGAGCTTCCACCATATCTGACAGAACCAATCTCTGATGGCTCTGAAGATGGACACACTGCTGGCCCAATTTGAGAGGCTGGTAATGCCTCTGTGATGACATATTTATGAAGAAAAAACAGGGCATGTGCAGTTTTTCTCCAGAAGTGGGGAAGCACCATATTGGCCCTGCCCACAGCAATACACCAGCTAGGTGTGGACCCTGCCTAACCCCCCCTAACTAACTGCACTGCGAGCAAAAAGGGCAGGGGCGGTGGCAGCAGCTTCTCCTTCCCAGCACCCCACATGAAGAGACATTAAATAGCACCGGCGCTGCTGTGGCTGCCAGTACATGCACAGTGGCGGTGGGACCACCCGGCTGACAACAGAAACATGACAAGCGATTCCCCAGTGCAGAACCTAGATGAGATCAAATTCTCTGTGCTGCAGAATCCTGCAACAATCTTTGAATCACTGCAACTTGTTCACAATGGTACCTACAAGCAACAGTTTTTGTTCTAGTCAGAGAAGGAAGTGAGGATGTGAGGCAAAACAACATGGTGACACCAGGGTCAGTGGAGAAGAAAGAGGGGGACAAAGTGCTTCAAGCATCGGAGCTGAGGTTCCTCTGCAAGCTGTGGTGAGGACTCTGGTAAAACAAACTGTTCCCCAGTAATGCATGAAGTCCATGGTGGGTGCAGAGATCCACTTGCAGCCCATGGGGAAAGTGCTTACACAGGAGCAGGTGAATGTTAGAGAAGAATGTTAGCAGCTGAATGTGGCCTAGTGGGAGATCTGAAAAGAGAGAGAGGGCCCCTACTCCCAGAGATAGAAAGAGCCCTTGCTTCCAAACTAAAACAGCCTACCATTAAAAGACTGCACCCCGTGGATGAGTGACCCATTCCACAACAATTCTGGGATGACTGTTTGCCTGTGGAAGGGACCCCACAACATAGCAGAAAAAAAGACTCCTCTCTCTGAGCAAACAGAAAAAGATCTCAATTGATGAACTGACCAAGACCCCCACACCCTGTCTTCCTGCACTGTTGGTGAGAAGGAGGGAGGGGCTGGGAGGGAAAAACGTGTTTTAAAAGTATGTTTTACTTCTCATTGTCCTCCTCTGACTCTGTTGATAGTAAATTTATTTTATACCTTTAGATTTGAATCTGTTTTGCCCTTGGAGTGTTTTTTTTCCCCCAGTCCTTGTCTCAATTCATGAGCCCTTCTTTGATCTTTTTCCCTCTCCTTTGCCCAACTGTAGCAAAAAAAGCTAAGCAAACTACTCTCATGGGTGCCTGGCATTTGGCCAATGTCAAACCACAACAATTGAAAATGAAGAAACTTGTACATGAATAAATGTGATCTCAAAGTTGAGGCACTGCAAAGTTGGGACATGTGGTGCTATTCATGTAGATTCCACTCCTTTCCTTGCAGGACCACACTGATGTACAGCCTCCTGAAATTCCTTAACACAGTGGGGATCAATAAACCTCTGCATTGTAAATAATATTCTTTTAATAAGTAATAAGTTTTTGCTGATAAGATGCACTAGTAGCTCTGCTCTTGACTCGGCTCAAGACAGGTTTGTCTCTTGCTGCATAAAGGTGAACAAATGCAGAAGGAATGGTTCCCTAAAGTTGGGATACGTTTTTACAGAACACCAACACCTTATTTTGTTTCCTATGTGTATAAATCCACACATAAATCAAGATATGCATAAAAAGACACCCTAAATGTGGAGGTGTCAGTAAGAAGCCTTCTGTAATAAAGCAAAAAACTTCAGAGACTTTCCTTATATTAAGACAGATTTCTGATATAGACAGATTTACAGAACAGTTTAAAGAGTTGCTGGGATTGAGGAATGTAAGCAATACTTACTCCAACACATTCGGAAACTTCAAGCATTACATTTCCTTGTGGTTTAGCTTTCTTGTACATTTTGCTTCCAATTACAAACACAACTACAGTATGCAAACAGAAACCAAAAGAAACTCAGGATTAAATTAAAATAGCAGCAAATAATTTAGTAGGGAAACTGTAAGTAAAGGAGTTAATCAGGGTGGGAATAAGCCTCCCAAGAAGCAATGCAATTGCCTATTCACATGCTATCATACAGTAAGACAAATCAAATTAATACCACCAGATTACTTCTATCCAAGACAAAAACCTAAATCTGGAAACTCTTACAGTAAGCGCTCAGTGGGAGGTTTGCTCAGCTGAGGGATGGTCAAAACAAGGGCATTTAGGACCTTGACTCTGGCCTTGTTGTAGGGGTTCATTTTCAGGAGCTCAGGATACTGCAGCTCACATCATGGAGGGACGCACAAGGCTCTGCCTGACCGGCAGGACTGGCCAAGGTGTCCTCTGTTCTCAGGCACGTTTCTCAGCCTCATCATCCCACATGCAGGCAAGACACAGGCAAACCCCCACAGCTGCCATCCAGCCTGCCCTGGGCTCATGGGCAAGGCAAGGTCATTGATAGCCAGGTAGGCTCCCAGTCAGGACCATGAAGGACAAGGAGCATGAGGGATGCTGTAGTACATAATGGCAGCCCCAGTTTCTTGGTCAGCAGTAAGGCTCAGGGAGTGACCTGTAGCACAGCTGGTAAAAATGCAGGTGTTTGAGAAGTAGTGACGTATCAAATATGGGATTTCTCCAGCACAGGAACAATTACTTCACACCATTTATAATCCTAGACTAGAGATAATGTCCAAACTACACATTTTCTGAGAGTTCTCACACTACATTCAAAAGACCTATTTGTACACACCAGTAATCCAAGAAACACAAGCAGTAATTTACATAATGTACAGAATTCAAAGATATTCAGGCCTCACCCCCACCCTATCTGACTGGTAAATCAGATGCTTCTATGAAAGTGAGTACTTCAGATTAATCCCACCCACTTCCACACCCAGGAAAAAATATAAGTCAAAAACCACAGAAATTATCAGGTAATGGTAGAGGTCAATACCAGAGGATTTCTATCACACTTTCATTATTCTGAGATTGTTATCATCTAATTATCAGGGCAACAGGATGGCAAGAGATTGTCTTACCCAAGGCAACAGCCATGAGGATAGCAGGAACTCCAAAAGCAAGCGGGTAACATTCCTGTTTGGTATGAATGCCACACTCTGAAGCTGAAGTAAAAATAACACCAAATAAAAGTCAAATAAAAACATCAGCATTGCTGATGTTTTCCATATAGTTTCTGTTCTTTGAATTCACTGAACACTCACAGGGGAAAAACAAACCAGTCTGCCGACATCCTCAGAGTGGAGGATCAGTATCCAACTTATCTTTCATTATTGGAAAGTGGATTTATGTATCACAGAACAGTTGTGATTGGAAGGGATCTTTGGGCATCATCCAGGCCAAGTGTCCTGTTCAACTAGGGCTACCTGGAAGCAATTATCTAGGACTGTGTCCAGAAGGCTTTTGAGTATTTCCATGGATGGAGACTCCACAACCTCTCTGGGCAGCTTGTGCCAATTCTTGATCACCCTCAGTGTGAAAAAGCATCTCCTGATGTTCAGAGGGGACCTCCTGTATTTCAGTTTGTGTCCATTGCCACTTGACCTGACACTGGGTACCACTGAGGAAAGCCTGGCTCCATCCTCTTAATTTCCCATTAGGTATTTTTATACTTAGATAAAATGCTCCCTTTGCCTTCTCTTCTCCAGGCTGAACAGCCTAATGCTTCTCAGTATCTCCTCACGTCAAATGCCCCCTTTGCCTTCTGTTCTCCAGACCAAACAGTCTAATACCTCTCAGGACCTCTTCACAGGAAATTTACATCTAGTTTTACACTGAGACATGAAGAATTATACTAGAATGGTCAAAAACATGTCCTTAGTAAGAAAGGAACTAGATTACAAGTTTTGGGCTAAGTTCATAAACAAAGATTCTAGTGATGTAAATGTAGCTTGTTGAAACAAAATCACAATCACCAGCCCCCTTCCCTCCTTGGCATTACTCACAGATTTGACTCTTACTGACTTCAGCAGTATAAAATAAAAGGCTAAACAAAATTATTACATTCTTCACCATACTTCCTTTAAGAGGAGAATTAGAGAGTATGGTTTGGAAAAAAATGTTGGCTTGCAGATAACGTCTTGATTTTGTATTCGTCTTCTGGTCAAACCTTTCCAGGTTGAAACAGGTTATCATTTCCCTCAACTCAATTTGTCCTTTTTTTACAAGGAATTTTCACACTGTATCAGCAAGGAAGTAAACTACATGCTACGCCTTATGCATCTCTCCTTCCTTTTTTGAAAAGGATAGAATTTGCATTAAGCAAACACCTAAAACTCTTCTACAGAGTCTTTTCCAGTCAAGAAATCCAAAGGCCAGAAGTTCAGCCTGGTGCTTTTGGGTTATTCCAGAATTCACATTCTGTTTCCTTGCTTTTGAGAAGAGTAGCCTTCTGAAACTGCTGGCAAGAGCATCCATTCAGCACCATGTATGTGCAAGCTTGCCACAGAAATCCATATGCATATAAGTTAGAAAATTGCTGGGTTTTGTTTAGGATCATGCTATTCCTTACAAGAGAACATAACTTACTTATTTAACAATATGAAAAATTATTTACTTTGTCATATGGATTAATATATTCCTACATTGAGAGATGCTTCTGTACTTATCATGGACATGTTTCCAGAGGAGAAGGCTCTCTCTCTCCTTCCTTTCCCCCAGGAAGCAATGCAATTCTTTCTAGTGTGATAGTTTTAAAGGTATTGGAAGACATGACATATTTGTACCTTCGTGGAATTAAAATATGCATTAGGCATGCAAGCTGTTAGCTCCAGCATGCCTTTTCAGATCTAGTACTTCTGATCCCAAAGGCAATGAAGGTTTTCAAGTGGCTTGTTTTTGAGAGTGTCTCATCTCTAAGAAGTTGGATGACACACTGAAGACTATTTGCTAGATAACTCCAGTGTGTCAGAGAACAGAACATTAATTTAAACCAGACTGGACTACAATCCAACATGCCTTTTCTGGTGTTTAACTATTGTCAGCAAACATGTGACCTTACCTCTGATAGTTGGAGTGACTAAAGTAGATAAGAGACTTCCAGCATTAATGGACAAATAAAAGAGAGAGAAGAAGGTACTTCTTTGCTTTTCCTACAGTAAAAAGAAGAAAGATCTTTAGAAAGGCTTAGACACAACCACACTGATGAGCCTAGATCAAAAAATCAGTGCCTCTGTTTTCAAAGTTCAAGACAAATAATTAACTAGCACCTTCTTCAGCCCCTCAGGAAAATCCAGCAGTAATGCATCCATATAAACATGTATATTATTAGAGTACTATAATAGTGAAACATTAGTTAGAATATCTGTATAACTGAAAATCTGAAAGACATTGTAACCTGATCGTCTTCAAACTGATCTCCACCAAATGCTGACACACATGGTTTGATCCCACCAGTACCCAAGGCAATAAGGACCAAGCCAACTATGGACAGAGCGCTGGAACAAAGGAGAAAAGAAAAAAAAATAGTTTTTCTTACAGTATACACAATGTTGAAAGACAGTTGAAATTCAAATAACATAAACTTAAGTTGACCCATCTTTCATCTGTCTGGGACAAAAAATGTGTACAAGGCAACTCACATGTTCACTGCTATAGTATCAGGAGTGCCATCGTGGTTGTGGTCCGTCAGGTCATTTATGGAGCCCACAGACAGCACTGCCTGCCCAATCGCATAGACAATGGACAGGTAAAGAATGGTCCTGTTATCGAGAGAGGAGATACATTTTCTTAGATATGTTAACACACTTACACACAGATAATGCCACAGCTAATGCAGACTTCTGCTTACTTTAAAGATTCCTGGTAATGAAAAAAACTAACAGATACAATAAATTACTGAACTTATTAGAAGCTACTATAAAAATCTGACCACATACCACTGCCACAATATTTATATTCTTTTTATCATTAATATTATAGGTAGCTTTTAATTAATTAAGGTCGTCTAATTAATTAAGGCATGACAACACATGGATCCTATAGGTATAACTAAGTCACAATATCTTCAGTGGTTACCTTTTTAATGACCAACTCAAGAATGCTATTTTCATATTTTTAATATGCATATGCCAAATAGACTACTCTGCGAAATTAAAATCTGAAATTTACACTGATATATGTATCATTAAACATTCACTGTGTTATTTTCTATTTTAGTTACAGGAGTAAAGAAGAAAGAAAAATCAAAAATCTGCTTCAAATATGGAAATTCCCCTGAAATACTGTTATGAGCAACAGCTCTATACCCCGACTCTCTTCACTGTAAGTGTACCAACATTTTTACACTTGGATCTGAGTGAGAGCAGCACTGAAGAGTGCAGGCTGCAGGCTTTCAGGCTGACTATCTTGTCCAGGAGGTGCCTAGGGTGATAGTACTGCATAATCACCAACCCCCCCAATCCTGGCTTTAGGGTCCAATCCTCTTTTCTGTAAGTAAAAACACGTTCCATTTTAACTCTGTTGGACCTTGGGTACGTGGCTGTAGTTTAACCCATGTTCGCTTGTGTCCTTGGGTGGGCCTCCATTCAATAGGCACAGACACGGGTCTCAAGTTTGGAGGAAAAGCAGGAGAAAAATAATGCAGGAGAAAAGCAATGATGTGAAAATATGTAAAATCCCTCTTTTCAGGAGTAGCCCCAAGCCAAGTGCAAGGCAGGAGAATGAAGGACAGTCTTCAAAGACCAAGAACACTCCAACTATTTGACATAGGCAAGAGATCCTCACAGCAAGCTTGGAGCAGCACCCTGACACAAGAGGGACATTGACGACGTTCCCCTCATTTTAAAACAGGGTTTCTCTGACTTAAAATCGACCTTGCCTGTAGTGTAGTAAAAAAAAAAAATCTATAAAGCAGGGCAACAAGGAATCTGCTGTTTAGTGGTACTTAACAGATACAGTTGCATGGGTTGGGTTTTTTTACTAACACTTCCATAGAGTTACTTTATTTACCTAGCAACCTGGGGAAAAGTTTCCAGTTAAATCTGAGCTAATCAAGAGTGAAACTTCTAAGTTTTATTTGTGAGGCTTATAAACCTACTGCAAAGACTTACATAATTGCCACTGCATTGATGGCACACAATTTTAAAAATAACTGATTTCTGTACTACTTTCCCCAAGAAATTCATATCCAACGGTATGTGAGCAGGTCCCATCACATTTCTTGACTTTGTACATTGCACAAAGTACATGGACTGTGGAAGATTGTAGTCTTGCCTTTAAGAGTGCTTAACAGTGCTTTGGTAACCTCCTCTTCCTCTTGTCATCATAGATTTTTAAAAATTCTTGTTTAAGCCTTTCTCATTACATCTTCCTGCATTTTAGAGTGCTAAAGCCTAACGGTATATCCTAAAGCATGTTTTCACTTGTTTAAGCCATCTAACAAGCTCCTGTTAAAGGTCTGGGCCTTTCAGTTTTGGCACTAGCATACCCAAGTACCAGAGGAGAAGACATGCAAGGTCTGTAAAGTTTCACCTTGATAAAACATGAAAAAGCCAAAATAAATTTGAAAAACAAACAACATCATCTAGACAAGCAGGTGTACAATATATTTAGGCTGCAATATGTAAGATATCCAGCAGTGAGTTTGCTCTGCCCAGAGCAGCTGCACAGAGTACACAGGGCCCTGGGCTCCCAGGTGCTGTCCCTACAGCAGAAGAAGGCAGTGCAGCTGACTGCACAGCACATCTCTAATCTCTAGGAGACCTTTGGCAAGTCCACTTGCATTCATGGCTCATAACCCTCCATAAAATTTTTACCATGCTTTTTCTCAGGCAAAGTAAACACTTAGAATCAAAACATCAGGAAAGGAGAGGGAGATAAAGCTGTTGGACATAACCTGGTTACATTTCAAAGCACTTCAGTGGTACTATCCTGACCAACTAGCCTGCAGCTAAAGACACAAAAGACATCATTTAGAGAAAGAATTGCTGCTCTCACTGTCTCTAAGACCCCTCACTGATCTGTCAATTCTGAAATCACATAGTATTTTAAAACTTATTCCAAGGCCCAGTTAACACCTGACAACACAGTAATTCACTATTTCATTGGCCACTTGTAACAAGTAGATAGATTTTCCTATGTAATTATAATCCCTAGTATCTATTTTCACAGCTTGGTGAATACTGTCCACAGCTTACATTTTGTCCAGGTGAGAGGAAGAACATGCAGCATGCTCAGAAAGCATGTTACCACCCTTAACCAACTAGCAGAAGTTTGTTTGTTTACTCACAGTGCAGTTTTATGTCTGAGCTGAATCAATGAAAACCTCAAGCTTTGGCGAAATAAAACAAACTATCCTTGAGCAGTCAACACCAGCTCTGAAGCTGTTGTTGCTCACAGCTGCAGTTTTAGGTGATGATTTTAGTAACACTGGTTTCAGGTGAGCTTTCAAGATCTTTGGCTGCTTTCTGAGGAAGCACTCACCTAAACTTTCCCAGCCAAGAGTCCGCAATGATTGCTCCAAGGATCGGCGTCAAGTAACACAGAGCAACAAATGTGTGGTAGATGGCAGTGGCAAAGTTGTCTTCCCAGTGTAGGAAACGTGTGAAATACAAAGTGAGCACAGCTGTAGGAAGAACAACAAAACAACAGGTTACAAACACAAGTCAGGCCTGGGTAATGCTCAGCACAAGGAGACAAGGGACGTACTTTTCATGCCATAGTAGGAGAACCTCTCGCAGAACTCATTGATGACGATGAAGAAAATGCTCAAAGGGAAGCCAAAGCAGAGCACCTGGAGGCAATAGACAATGTGAGCTCAGAGCTGTGGAACCCAGACTAACATTCTTCACTGCAACTCACAGCTTAAGCAAGCTCAACATGGACTCTGCGGGTGACTAGGTACTCAGGGTCTGGAGGCTCCACAGGCTTCTGTGGAATTATAGCAGTTTACCTGAACCAAGAGTCAGTTACCACTTTCATCTCTTGGTCCCCAGAGGTCTGCACACTTTTCATCTGCCCTTTGCAAGAGACCTTTAGCAATACTAGAAATTGCCTACAAGTGTTGCACTATGCACATTTGAGTTCTCCAGCACCTAACCCTTACAGCAATCTTCACTGGTATCTAAAAATATGCAAAAAGTCAATGTTTTTGGAAAAACAAAAAATCAAAACCCAAGCCCAACACTAAACCCCTGCAGTACACCAGTAAGAAGCCCAGGGGTATTTTTAAGCACCTGCAATTAAAACATAAGTAAATAAACATTTAAACTTTTAATTCAAGCAAATCCCTCAGGAAAACTTCTCATCCTTAAAAATACTCGCTTGACAAAGAATCCTTCATTTCTTCAGACCTGGTAACAGAACAGACTTTATTCCTAACCTAAGTTGTTATGGCTTTGGCTGCCAGGTTCACTGAGCCTTCATTTGCTGCAACAGGCATGTCTACAGTCACGATCATGCAGTTCTTGCCATTGAGACAATGGTTAAAAAGCATACATCAGGTACAAATCTGATATGGTCATTAGAACTGCAGCTTTAATTTCTGATCACCTACTTGTCTCTGTGGAGTGGATGAATGCACGATATAATTTCTATTCAAATGAATGGGGATGCGATTTAAATATAATCCTACCTTTTAATTTTTTATGGGTTTAATCCTGCAAGTAGCAAAGAACCAGATTTTAAAGACATTCCAGAACATTCCAGATGCAAGTTCTTCTCCATGCTCAAGTATAATTAAAAAATGGCATTTTTTTGGTTTGCAGAAGTTTAGGAATTCAACTAATCCTTATTTTGTGTGAAACAGGAAGAAGTTAATTTTGCAGATCAAAAGGAAAAATCAGACAGGGAAATTATGCCTGACACCAGAAAATTGGGGAGCCACTGTCTCCAGCAAAGTCGCAACAAATAGCACAACACAACCCTTGGGTGCTACAACAGGCTTTTTTTGGAATCCTGCAAAAGAAATGAAAATAAGAAAGTGGCAGGAACGTTGTTGACTGATCTGACTCAGTTGTGAGGATGCCTGAGCAGCGTTGACCTTTGCTGTTTGCAGAACCAAGTACATACTACATATCCTACCCATGGTTTGATGAGCAGGCTTCACAGCAAGAACTCAGTCTCAGCTGAGGCAAGTGCCAGTGGGACTCCTCTAGCTTTAGAGCACACAGATTTTTGAGCCCTAAATATAAACTCATCACTTTTGATTTATCATATCCTCCATGGGCAAAAAGAGGTGTCTCCAAAGGAAGGCTCTTCACAGATATCCCAAAAGGTAAAATTCACTTTTAAAATTCAAATGAGGTTGCCCATTTCCTTCAGCTGAAGGCAGCAGGAGGTTTAGACAACTACTCCCAGCTTGGACACAGGTGTTGGTGGGCTGGAGTTCACCCAGAAGAATGCTTTGTGCCCCATCCACACAGCATTACCCTAAGCCATGCAAATGGTCACAGGATGGAGAGTCACACACTGACATTTTGTTTCAGCACATGTTAAGTTGGTTACTGAAACAGTAGCCCAGGCTGTGTGACTTGTAATTGGGAGTAGCCCAGGTGGAGTAGAGGGAATGTCTGTTCCTGAAGCAGAACAAAGACCTCCCCATGTCTTCTCTTGTCTACAGAGGAAAAGAAAGACAGAGCAGTCCACCAGGAACTGGTGGGACCCATCTCCACCTGAATGTCACAAAAATCTTTTGACTACTTGGGGTTCTCACAAACCTCTCCAATGTTTTGCCATCACCCTACGCAAGACCTTATTCTTTAGGAGGGTGTTACGTGCTGGTCTGGGGAGGTCATAGTCCAGAAAGGCTGGATTTTAGTTTCAAGCCAGCACTGCTTCTGTGACCAGTGGAGCTGACCTGCATTCCCATGCTAGCACAGCATGCTGGTGGGTTTTTAAGTGGCTTCCCCCAGAACTGGAAGGAGTCTGCATGTCACAGCTGGACATGAGCATGGACAGGGGCATGCAAGAGAAAGTTACTGGGTCTTTCCCAGGTGACAGGCCTTATGTTTTTCCAAGATGCTACAAGCAAGAGACTATGCAATTAATCTTTGCTAACATATGATGTGTTCTTGTCCACTGTACTGTCCACTGTTACAGTATTCATATGCCCATACACCTCTACCAAAACCTTTTCTGTTGTTACCCTCATTGGTCAGGAAGCACCAGATCCACCACCAAAAAGGTAACCTGAAGGTTATGTTTTATAATGCCCTCTGTAACCTCGCTCTGCCCTGGGGATGCCACCGTCCTGCTGCACAGCTTTGTCTGCTGAGGAAAAGTCTATGCAGTAAAATCTTGCAAGATAAGAAATACAAAGGCAGACTTATGGTTGCAGAGACACATGTCATTAACAGTTCAAAGATTCAAGAGTAGTGGATGATGACAACTCAGCTGCAAGAAGGATGGGCTCCAGGGACCAATCTCCTCCCTACCAACACGTGCTCAGTCAGCAAAGGCTCTCTAAACATTTTATCAGGGTGTTGAGCAAATTAATGCTTAGCTAGAATTTAATAAGTTACTAATCTGCTTTTGCACATTTGCCAGTAAGCCTTTATTGTATACATTTAAAGTATGTTTAGAGGGTGATTTTTACTTTGGGCTCTGCTGACAGTATCAAAACAATGTAAACCAAAGAGGATCTGCAGAGCTACCCTTTATCAGGGAAAACAATACTTACCGACTTGCCGGTAGTTTTTCCACCTGGGGAGGGAAAAAAACAAAATACAAGTTAATGGCAAATAATAATAATACTCCCTTAAAACCAATGGAAGATTCAAAAAAGGTTCAACTCTAAATACATATTGAAATATAAACACAGTACTGGTCAGGGTAAGTTTTCAGTTTATTAAAGGGAGAATTTTCATAGTTATTAGGCAAAACATCACTCGATAGCCTTTGGTTTTTCAGAGTGTGCATAAACTCATACACTCCCAGGAAAAGCTCAAAAGGACTAACGACTCAAAGCATCCCATGGCTGCTTACCACACATCATTCAAGGTGGTGGCAAAGCAGCCACCCACAGATGATGAGTCCTGTTACAACTCACTATTGGAGATGTTACCTTAAAGGCAAGTCAAGATTAGCGAATAGACTCAAGATGCCTTGCCAGGGATGGAGATCAAGTCCTGAAAAGGGACTTAGAGAGGACTGAATATAAAGCCCAATTGAGTGATCCACTTTAGCAGGCATTCCCATAACCGAAATCCTTAACCTGGGAAGACCCGAAAGAACAGGGGTGTCCCATTGAGGGCAGCAAGAGCAGACAGCTGCTCCAAATGCTGCCAGGGGTAGAGGACCTGGCAAGAACAGCTGGAAGTGACTTCAGAGTTGCAAGCACTCCTGCAGGGCTTCCTCAGCTCAGGAGACAGGTTTGAAGGTTGAGCTCTCACTGTGTCAGATAAAGGCCCCGTGCCCACATTGTGGATGCCAACATTTTACATAAAATCACACAAGCAAGCTCATTATCAGTAAGATAAGATCAAGTACAAGATGTGAACTTTGAAATCCCTGCTTGTAAATCAAGTCTGGCCATAATACATCTATAAGGCCATAATACATCCCATAATACATAAGAAAAGTATGTTCGTGAAAATGATTATTTAGTCCATAGTCCACAACAGATGAAAACAGCTGACAGCAACACTATAATGTTTGACATAATAGTAAATCAAGTAAATCTTCAGAAATCACGGAAACATATTATTCCAGTTCTTTCCTTCACGGCTGTGGACAAGTACTTTCACAACAGAGACAGTAGTACTGCGCAGGTGATTCAAGAATATATTTTCCTAGAGAGCAAGCAACATTCTGAAAGTGCTAACACACCCAGTTCAGGACACATGTGGCTACACGAGTTACTAAAGTTATTGGCAATGTCCCTTCCACAAGCCACCAGAGAAGATACACTGAAGTATACCAAGGTGTCAGCAATAGCCCATCTTCATATCAAATCCTTGGTTATTTCAATTTGTTGGTCTTTCCAGGACATGTGCCAGTTTTTTATAACATGCACAGAGAAAAACAGTTTGGGCAGCTCACTTCTGTCTCTTAGCTAAGCCTTGGGAGAAAATATCTAGGATCTGGTTTTTGTTGGGTTTGGGTTTTTTTCTGCTTTCCTTTTGGCAAAAGTATCACCTCTACAAGAAACCTTACCCAGAGGACATCGCAGAGGCAATTTTTTTTCACACAACATCATCTCACTTCAGTGTTTAAGAGATACAATTATTTGTAAACATTTTGACTTTACCCTTCTATTCTCGTTTTGCAGAGAGGGTTGGGGAAACTCCAGATAGCATTAAAGCAAACCTTTCAACACAGGCACCTAAACAGAGGAGTCCACTGTCAGGTAGCTTTAGTTCTACAAAACACAGAGCACCCACCATCTTGCATCATTTTCAGTGATAAATCTGAAGTTTGCTATTGGCATGTTGGAGCAGTCCCTCTTTGGGGCAACCTTCAGCCTCTCGTATTTTTTCCCCACAAAGAATGACCCACAGAACTGCTCATTTTCACAATACCAAAGAGCTCCACATCTTTCAATATAAAGCTCTAAACACCTTCATACTCCAGAAAAACACCCACACAGAAGTTATCCAAGCAACTCTATAGAGCAACAAGCCTGATAGTAAACAGGCAGACCCAGCTGCATCCCATTTCCTGCTCTTCAGAGAACTATCTCCATTTTCCTGGATGTCTGTCCAAGCCAGCAGACCCCTGGCAGCACCATTGACGTGTCCTGACTGCTCATTAATCCGGTTGCTCGTCCCCAGGACACAGATTTGCTTGCTGAAGATACACTGGCACTTTCTTGGGGTTTGTGGGGTTTTTTTGTTTTTTTGTTTGGTTTTTTTTTTTTTTTGTTTAGTTTTTTTTTTGTTTGGGTTTTTTTTTTGTTTTGGTTTTTTGGGTTTTTTTGGTTTGGTTTGGTTTTTTTTGGTTTTTTTTTTGGAGGTAGAGGGTAGGTATTTCATGTTCTTTCCCTGAGTGAAACAAGGCTTCTTCAGCCCAGGAGCTGCTTGCTATGAGAGACACCCATGTACTCAGACACTGCAGGACCAAAAGTCCTGCGAAAGGCAATAGAGAGATACATCTCAAAAAAGTCGGTTGTGTACCTCAACCACTCAATGTTCCAGTTTAGACAGGAAAAAATCTTCAGGATTAATTAGATAAATGGGTTCTGTCCTTATCTGAATCTTCAGCTATGTATCTATGTATTTAAAACACACTAGGTCAGCCCTAGGCAAACACTCTCAATGAAAAAGTATTATTTAACATCTGCAAGGAGCACCACATTTAACTTGTGCTCAGATCTCAAGCTCCACATGCCTTAGAAGTGTAGTGCAGGATAAACCTTACCGGCCAGGGACTCAGCTCTCAGAGCTTACAGAGACCGAGGCACCATCTGTCGGCTCTCACTCGGGTTTCAAGGCAAGGTTGTACAAACCAGGATACAGCGTTGCCAGAGGGGGAACTGCCCCGGAGGGAGAGCAGAGACCCAAGAGTAGCCGGGGACTTCCTCAGACCGACACCGAGCAGCAGAGGCAGCCCTGGGCGGGCGAGACCCTTGGCCACGCTGTCAGCCCACAGCCCGGCACGATCACCCGGCTCGGAGGGATGCTCGTCCCGGGGCGGCATCCCTCCCGCGGGCCGGGCACCGCCGCTCCGCCGCCCGCTCCGGGCTGCCCCAGCCCGCACCGCCACACCTACCCATGTCGCCGGCGCGGTCCGGAGCGCTCGGGGCTGAAAGTCAGGAGGAAGGTAAGGAAAGAGGGAAGGAAGGTGCCGGGGGCGGCCGGGCTTTAAGGCGGCGGCGGGGCCCCGCCTGGCCCCGGGTGCTGCGGGGCGGCGCCGTGCAGGTGTCGGGGCGGGTCGCGGGTCGCTCCTGCCGGGGAGCCAGCCCGGGGCTCACCTGGCCTCACCATCGGCCCCGGCTGCCCCAGCGCTCCTCCCCGCCGCCCGCTGCCCTTACGGCCGCCAGGCGAGGGCTGTCACTGCTGCTCGGGGCTTGCTTCGCTCTCCGGCCGCCAGGAAGCACCGAGACCGTGCCATCAGCTGAACCGAGCGCCGGGCAGCGCTGCCAGCTGCACGTCGTCCCTTTGATGTCAACGGCGTAAGGGAAAACTGAGTAAGCAAGTAAGTGAAATACACGCTGTGTGGAGAACAGCTTTCTGCCTCGCTCCCTTCTCTCGAGCCAAGGAAACAGATGTCCTAAACTATTGCTACCACCGGTTTCTAGGGATCTCTGAGCTGTGGAATGATGTTTCTGAGAAGTTGTCCAGTGATGTGGATGCATCCCTGGAAGTGTTCAAGGCCAGGCTGGATGGGACTTTGAGCAACCTGGTCTAGGGGAAAGTGTTCCTGCCCAAAGCAGGGCATTGGAACTAGAAGAACTTTAAGTTCTTCCAACCCAAACCATCCTGTGAGTTTATGTTTCTATGACCTACTTCAGTCATCTCTTGGTTAGTCCACATAGTCGGAGCTCAAGTCCGAGCTTGAGATCTGAGCACAAGACATCTGTCCTGGGTGCCATTTGTGCCACAAGCCATAGGGAAAGCTGGGAGAATCCACATCAGTACAACACGATGTATGTTTCTTGCATGGACCGTACTGAGCCATGTATGTGAAATAAATGGATGAGAAGCTGAGCATGAACAGGAGAGCCAGAGTGCAAGGCTGACAAGAAGAATAGCTAGGGGAAGCTACATGTTACTAAGATCTGAATGAACTCAGAATGCAGAAACAGTAAAATATTAGCAGATATTAGCAAAAAAAAAAAAAAAATCTGAAAGAAGAATGAGCTCCTTCTTTGAGGCTTGAAAATACAGTGGCATGCTCTAGTTTATGCAACCAATCCAATAGCATTTTCTATGGCATGCACTTAATAATTACCTGGTCGATGAACAGGTTCATTTTGTCTTGGGTACAAATCAAACAAGCATTGCAATGCATTGCAATTTGGAATATCTACAGTCAGCACTTCAACAGTTAAAGGCTGCTCTGATTCGTGATACAGAACTACAGCTGAACCTGGATTTCTTAAATTGCATCTATATGGGGGTAATCTACTCAAAGGAGTTCTAGCCTCTTAGCAGTTACCTGTACCCTTAACTGTAAAAATTTGTGAATAAATTCTTAAGATAAAACATGAGTAGGTAGTTATAGCTATATTTATAGCAAGTTCTCCAGTAAGAAACATAAATCTTGCTGTATAAGCTCCACTGACATAGCTGATGCTAATCATGTATCACTTCTCAGTGGGATATACATATATAGCCACACAGCACAGGCAGTGTTACATTTCTCTATTATGGTTACTCCAGCAAAACAAGCAATCTGTAATGCAGCAAAGAATGCTGAAGCCTCCAATGGCTTATTCATCTACAGAAATAACTGAGATATTACCACCATTTTCTGTTAAAGTATGGAATTAAAGATGTCATTTCTTTCCTGAAAAAAGGGAAACTTCCCATTGCATGACCAGTGGTGGTAAAAGGTTAGTTCCCAGGCACATCTTATATAGACCCATGCATTTAGTGAGAACAAAGAGTAGGCCTTTGATGTTTCTTCCTAGAAAGCAACATACAACTGGGATTCAGATATTAAGGAAAACACTCGTTTTCTCAAAAATTTGGGATAAATGAGCTAGTTTGATCACCTGGCTTTCACTCAGGTTATCTTTCAATGTTTAAGGTTTCTATTAAAGTATTCACCCTGATGAGTACACATTTTAATTTGTCCCACAGAGAGATAAAAAGACACACAATTGCTTCACAGCTATTTCTGAGGTGGATTGGCTTTTGTCCTTCAGTAAGTGGATGCCACAGGGTTGATCACTGTAGAGTTATTTTGTGGTTGTATTTGTTGGAGGGACAGAATTTGTTCTCAGAGGATTAGTTTCCCACTGAGGCTCTCTTTCTAGGAGCACTCAGAGCACAGCAGGGCTATTAAATACTCAGCAAACAAAAATGCAGAAATGCATTTCTGCTTTTTTTCTACAAAACTCTGAAGTCAAAGAATCACATTTCCAAGGTGTAATAGAATACTGTCCTGCTTCTTCCACACAGGATCCTGTACTCCACTGTCTCATGGTCACCACAACCAAGACTACTCCCAGCTCTCATATCCCAGACCAGTCCTTAGTTTGAGGTCCACCAGCACAGGTCCTTAATGACTCTTCCACCACCCATGTCCAAAAGTTACCATCAGTGCTCTGCAGGAGCCTCTCATGCTGTGCATTCCTACTGTAATGATCCTTCCCCAGGAGGGATAATTCCACATACTGCTCAGTTAAAGATTGTAGCTTAGTCTGTAAGATTGTTTCCTTGTATCTCCTAGGAAGGAAGAATACGATCATTTCAGAGGAGCTGGTGAGGTGAGTCCATAACATGGAATAGTTAATAACAACTATTTATTATTTAAGGATGAACAACCTGAATTGAGACTGATTTTACAGAAAATTTGGACAAATCTGTTCAGGTTACGTGTGATTTATAAATATTAATAGATGTTCTTTACTCATTTTTTTAGATTGGAAGAATTGTAATAAAGAATTTTCAGGGATGTGCAGCTTATCAGGGATAGCCAGTATTGCATGGGATGCTGCCAACTAAGTGAGGCTGTACATTCATTCATTCTAAACAAAGGCTAATGGATCTTGCTCTACAACCACAATCCATTGGGCTTTCATGATGGTAGTAGCCAAACACTAATACTTGTCACTTCCCAGTAACTACTCCTCCCAAGATAATATATCCTTCCAAGAAAAGTTTATTCCTGCTTTCCGGATAGGGAATCTCAGGGGGAAAAGTGATTTGTTTGCTCTGACTTTTCTCATGCACCGTGTCATGTTTTACTAGCAGAGCAAATAATAGGTGGGACGGTCTGGAGGAGAAGGGGACTGCTGGGCAGGAGGGCACCAGGGGTCTCTGGGAGGGGCTCTGCAGCAGTTCAGGTGCTTTCAAGCAGCAGCAGTCCAGCTACTGGGTGTTGTGCACGCATAGTGACATAGTTGGTATTTGAGATGCTCACTCAACTTCTGTGCAAGGAGCAACTCTGGCCCTAAAACATATGAATTTGCTTATTCAGGAGTTTTCTAAACCAGACCAGGGACATGCAGAGAAAGAGGTTTCTACCAGCCCAGCCTGCCAGCCCAACTCAGCAGCATTCAAAGTAATCATCTCCAGAAAAAGGAAAAGAGTCTGTGTGCTGTGGCACACAAGGAGCTTGGCTTCTCTGGCACATCTTTATGTATGCACACTGGATGTGGGTGGAGGGTAAAGCAGGGGAGCGGGAACTAGAGCACAGACTTGGATCTAAATAAAGTAAATGAGTGAACTCTATTTACCTGGAGCTGCCGAGCAAAAGCAATGGCAAAAATCTTTGGCTCATTACCAGTGCCTGTGACAACATGCAGAGTCAACTAACATGGCAGATATAGACCTAATGAGTTAATGGTAAACAATACCATTAACAAAACTATTGTGAAGTCACTCCTGCCAAGATGTGGGTTTGTTCCTTTTGTTTTTGCCAAAAACATAACTTGAGGTTGATAACTCTTTCTATTTTCCCTTCATTTACTCTGATAACATTGTTTCCTTGGTAGAGCCAGATTTGCCCCTTGTCCAGTTCTCTTTATATCTATCTTCATCCTGACAACACCTTTGTTGCTGTTTCCTTCCATGGGTTTTCCCCTTGGGGAATCTGAAGGGGATCTTTTATGCAAAGCCTGGATGTAATAGGGAAACTTGATTCTGAAAATGCAGGTCTGTGTGGAAACCAGCCTTAGTTGCAAGGAGACATTCCAAAGCTTCAGTTTGGACTTAGCGATGTGACCATCCTTCCAGCCCTGAAAGGCCTTTGTGGATCCAGCCTGGGTCTCTGTACCACAGCCACAGCCAAGTGTGAGCAGTTCTTGTGTTGTGCCTTCACGATGCACGAGGCATGAGACAAGGAGAGCAGAAACACACACAGTAATCCCAGATTTGATGCTGATTTATGGTCAGATGTTGTGCAACCCATCTCTGAGGCTGGGAGATTCTCCCTGCCAAGGGAGGGCACTCCCAGCAGGTATGTGGGGTAAACAAATAGGAGTGTTAGCGTAAGTATTAAGGGCAGCTGGCAAGGGAAGTAGGGCAGAACAAAAGAGCTCCTGATTCAAAGCCTTTACATACTCCTTTCTACTGCAGATAAACACCTATTTCTACCCTTGAAGTATGTGACTGTATTCAAGGAAAAAAAAAAAAGTCTATGAGTATCCTTTGCCCAAGTTAGGCTTCAAGCCTTTCACTGGGTCATGAAAGCTTTTCTAAAATTTTGAATTATGTACCTCTGTTTTTCTTCATATTAAATTTGAATTTGCCTGACACACAGCATCACTCTCTCTCACCTAAGGCAGTGCAAGGATGCTGAATGTTGTTCAAAGCAGCTTGAAACCATCCAAACATCTCTTCAGTAGTCTTTTTTCTTTGTACTGCCACATTGCTATTCTTCTGAAACTTCAGATCCATGCTGTGAGACCTGACATTTTCAAGTGAACTTTTTATCTTCTCATTGCATTGTGTCTGCTGAAGTTTCACTTCTAGCATGTTTTTGGCCAAGTTTTGTTCAACCTTTTTTTTCATAAGGAGAGCACATGAGAGCGTCATCAACACAGCAGCTGCTAGGTAGAGCTGGTTGGATTATCCTGTCAATTTATGCAACCAGCCCTACAACATGAATCATATTGTTGACTGGACCATGCAAGTACAAGTGTCATCTCTTGACCAATCTGTGTTTTGACTCAAGCAGATGTTAAAAGAC